TCGTCCTTTAAGCCGTTAAGCCGTTACCGGTAAGCCATTAAGCTTCGGTTCGGTTCGGTTTTCGGCTTCGGATCGGTTTTGAACACCCCTAATTGTGGTGTACTCATGCTACTCTTCTGCACATGTTTTTCGTGTGCAGATCCTGGTACATTATTCCAGCCTTGCTATTAGTTGTGCACCTGCTTTTGTTACGGGGACTTCAAATCTGTCGCGTCCGCAGACCTAGGAGTCCCCCTTTATCTTTTGTGTAGTTCTTCCTCTACTACTTCTAAATACTAATGTATAGAACAGTTAGTAAATTCTTAGAAGCTTGTGACTTATGATGTTCCGGATCTTGGGAAGATTCTGTATGTATTTTTTTGGAGGTTGCTTTTGTATATGCCAAGCGACATTTCTATCGTTGTTTCATTACTGGGCTATTAGTGGTTAGAGTTATGTTTTCATTTTCGTTGTTAATCCGCAAATACTAGGCATACCTAGTCGTAGAGACCAAGTGCCGTCGCAACCTTTCACGGTGAGAAGATTGGGTCGGGACCGAGGTGGGTCCGGCCGACCCGTCCCGTTGGACGGCCATAGTCTGAAGGCTGGGATATTGAATTCTCGTCCTCCAACAAGTTAAGTTTATGTATGTTTTTGGGCACTCAAGTTGGAGATATTTGAAATCTCGCCCTACAACAAGTGGAGATTTTAATTTCTTCTGTTTAATTTGTTCTACTTCGGTTAAGTCGATTTCCTTTTAGGCTTCGGTCCTTCTTATATATTGTTTAACGTTTTAACAGATTTATAAGAAAATTATTACTACTAGTATTAATCATAATATATTTGACTAAAATATCTTAGCTCTTCCACAACTGAGTAATTAAGTATTATATGCCTTCTTGAAGTAGCACGATCAAAATGGAAAATAATATTAGTAGTTTTTAAAAGTGGCAAGTATGTAGAGCCAAATTAAAATTCTGTCTCTCCTAGTACGTACTATGAGTCTATGACCATTCCTACTCACAATTCATTACTACCTTTGTTTCATATTCTCCGGTCTTTGAGGTTCTTGCACCTTCTTAACAAAGACTAATAACCTTATAATAAAGGTATATCTAAATTATTATGTTTTGTTAAATATCTCACTTAATAGGCACTCTTCTGATTGAAATAGTATGGTAGATTCGGAAAAGAATAATAAATGATTTATCATTTCTTTAAATAGAGAAACAAATGGTCCATCCATTTCAATTTGTTTGAACTTTTTGAAGTACGAAGGTCAAATTGACTAATTTGAGATATGAACTCGGACATAAGTTCTTTAAGTTATTTGAACTAATATTTATATATTTAGAAACTATATAAGAAAGTACCATGAATAGCTATTCAAAATTTTTAAAAACTATTTGCAAAAAAGTGTGGTTAAAAAAAATTCCAAATAGTATAATGTTTATTCATTTTGAAACGGATGGAGTACAATTTATCAAAATGCCTAATATTTGAGATTGAAGGGGGATGAGAACGAGAAAGGAAAAAGAAAATGTCTTATGGATAGGGGGAGCATGAGTGATCGAGCTTCTCCCCGCACAGGGTCCCCATACAGGCTAACACCCGACGATATGTTAGGAATCTACAATCATTACGTTGTGGGTAGATAAAGACACTCCTCTTAATTACACCACCAATTCAATTTGAGATGCCAAAGACGTTCACACTTCACATGATGTGGAGCTATCGAGCAAGCCTTAGCGTAGCATTTCGCCGTCAACATCATACGCTGAGTGTGTGAATAATTTGAAAAAAGAGTAGCGAGTACCGACATATATGCCTGTTTTGGCTATTTCTACAAATAGTATGTGGGCATAGTTTAATAAGCACGCCTTGACCTTGCCAGTTTGCCACGCTTGTCAGTTGCGAGGTTGGGTTTTTGTTAGCACGACCTTACTTCCACGCCTGTAAAGTTTATATTATATACCTGCTAGGCTGCTACTTCCATTTCTATTTACATTTTCATTTCCCCTTCTGTTTCTTTCTCAATTCTACCTGCTGTAACTGATAGTGGTAATCCATTCTTGATACAAACTAAGGGTCCATTAAATTATATGGAAAACCTGGTTCTCTGTTAGTTCCCACAGAACACACACGCAACAGTAAGTAAATAATACAATTGAGTTTTACGTGGAAAACTCCCAGCTTACGAGATTAAAAACCACGACCTATACTCGTAGGATTTCAACATCACTACTGAGCAAACTTCAGATTACAAACTATTATAACCTAGGAATTAAACTTTTAATCTCTCACTCACTTGTAATAACTCTATTACAAACTCCTTTGTAATAACTCTATTACAAAGCTTACAACTCGACTAACTCTAGCCAAGACACAAACGCAAGAGTTTTACGTGGAAAACTCCCAGCTTACGAGATTAAAAATCACGACCTACACTCGTAGGATTTCAACATCACTACTGAGCAAACTTCAGATTACAAACTATTATAACCTAGGAATTAAACTTTTAATCTCTCACTCACTTGTAATAACTCTATTACAAACTCCTTTGTAATAACTCTATTACAAAGCTTACAACTCGACTAACTCTAGCCAAGACACAAACGCAAGAGTTTTACGTGGAAAACTCCCAGCTTACGAGATTAAAAATCACGACCTACACTCGTAGGATTTCAACATCACTACTGAGCAAACTTCAGATTACAAACTATTATAACCTAGGAATTAAACTTTTAATCTCTCACTCACTTGTAATAACTCTATTACAAACTCCTTTGTAATAACTCTATTACAAAGCTTACAACTCGACTAACTCTAGCCAAGACACAAACGCAAGAGTTTTACGTGGAAAACTCCCAGCTTACGAGATTAAAAATCACGACCTACACTCGTAGGATTTCAACATCACTACTGAGCAAACTTCAGATTACAAACTATTATAACCTAGGAATTAAACTTTTAATCTCTCACTCACTTGTAATAACTCTATTACAAACTCCTTTGTAATTACTCTATTACAAAGCTTACAACTCGACTAACTCTAGCCAAGACACAAACGCAAGATTTATGTTTTTACCAAAGATTTTTTACACAATGCTTTTAGTTAAGCTAAGTAGGAATTACAAGTAAATCACTTTAACAAAGGTGCAACACAACAACATATAATGACTCAATATAGGAAACTAGTCCTTTGTTATGTTATTCTTTGTTCTTGAAACCCTGAAAGTCACTTGCAAGATCGCCACACACTTTAGAGAGAGCTTGATTAATTCTGGAATGTGCAAGTGTGTAGTTTTTCCTTTCCTTCATGTTAATATCACCCAAGTGATGTCACTTAGATCATGCAAGTGTATTTGGTACAAGGGCATTCCCAATAAAGTGTCTGCTACACTATTTGCCTTGTTACATGTGTGCAAAGGAACAATTGCAGCAACTTTACAGCTATGGGAAGTTGACTTGAAACATGTCCCCGAATTGAGACTTGTTGTTCTTGAGCACTTTGAGGATGTGGAACAGGTTCCCCATCTGGTTTTTATCATTAAGTTTGTTAGATCATAAAAATATAACAGGACACATAACCTATCAATTTCCCCCATTGATGACAAACTTGTAATTGATGTTCCCCTTGAGAACCAGAGTATGATACATATTTCCTGTATTCCCCCTTAACTTGTTCCCCCTCTCGTTCCCACTCAATTAATTTTTTTCCTTTTGGCATCATAAAAAGATTAGTCACAAGTAATAAGCAAAAAGAAGTCTAGCATGGTTAACTCATGCCACATGTGTGCACACAAACACGACTAAAAATAGAGCAAAGCAAGCATAGTAAAAGGATGTGATATTCATTAATTGGATAAAAGAGGGAGCAGAATTAGTAGTACCATTTGTTACATAACCATCCACAAAATAAAATAACATAAAAAGTATCAGCCACTAATCACAGCAAAACATGGGACCAAAACAGAGGATAAACAACTTTGAACTGGACACTAGGAAGGGAAACTGCTTTAAGGAGCACTGAATGGGGGAGGCAGAGATGAAGAGGCAAGGGTTCTAAGGAGGATGTACATTCGAGCATTTGATGACCCTTACTCGTTGAGCAGCCTCTCCTTCAGGTCCTCAACCTGTTTCCTAAGATCAATATTTTCCTTGGTCATACGAGCAACCTCTGTGCTTTGTGTACTGTTGGAAATAGGTGCCTCATGGACCTGACTAAGCTGTCCCTCAAGAATAACATTTCGTGCCTTCAACCTCCTTATCACTTTATTGGCAACATTCTGAGCCTCAATCGGTTGAGAGATAGTGGAATTGTTGCCAACCTCTCCTTTCTTATCGATGCACTCACATCTTCTAAGGTTTTCTTGGAGAAGGTTTGCTTGCGAGTGCTCACCGTACCTTTTCCCAAAGGGACTTTGAAGAAATTAAATACCTTAGTGAGTAAGAACCCATAGGGAAACCCGTGATTACCATCCTTAAAGTCTGCCACTTTTTTCATGTACTCGATCATGATACCCTGCACATTGATAGTGGAGTAGGCATCCAGTGCTTCCATGAGGAACATGTATGCTCGTGACGTAATGGAGCTTCTTTCTACGCGTGGGAGAAAAACCTTGTTCAGCATATTAAACAACAGTTGTTACGCTGGAAGGAGGGCCTTCTTGTGTACCCGTTCCCCGTGATGTACAATATCATCCTTCAAAAGGGCATTTCTGAAGTTTGGAGAATAGGTCCCCTCAATGGATGATATTCCCCCAAAAGGCACTCCCAAGATAGTTACTAACACAACCTCGTCCATCATAAAGTCGACACTATTCACCTTTAGACAGATGTTATCTCCTTTCACTGTGAACATGTCTATGTAGAAACTACACATTTCTTCCTCGTACACCTTATGACTCTCATTTGTGAACAAGTGTGTTCACTGCTGAAAATCATAAAGCTCAATCAGTTGGCGTATCCCATTCATGTCAAGAATATCAGGGGCAAATGTTTTGCCCCTACAGCACCTTCTATTTTATCAGGTTTTCTCTTCCTTCATCCTTGGCCGCACCCACCTTAGCTTTCTTGGAGGAACCAGGTTCCTTATTGACACTACCCTTTCCTTTCACATACTTTCTCACACTTTTCCCTTTCTCTATAGATTTTCTAGACAGTTTCTCACTAGACTTCTCTAACCCGTTTTCACCAGACTTTCTAGACACCTTTTCACCATACTTCTCAGACACCCTCTCACCAGACTCTTCCACCTCAACATTTTTCATAGATGTCTCTCTCCTTAGTTTTGGAACTGCAGGTTTCTTAGAGGACTTATGAATTACTGAACCAGGTTCCTCATTCTCCTCTTCATCAACATAAAAACTAGTGCTAGAGGCACTTCTTCTTTATTCACCAGTTTCCCACCCTTCACCAACCTTCTCTTCTTCTTTTCATCTTTATTTTTCTTAAGAACTGACTCAAGTGCTTCCTTCTTTTGCAGTCTAGTAGTAGGTCTTTTAAGAGTGGGATCTTTGGGAGTTTCCTTTCTACTCCTAGCAGCAATAAAACTAGCAACATATATATTATCATAATCTTCCTCACTTTCGTCATTCTCTTCCTCCGAAAGAGATCTCATCTCAGGAATAATGATGGTTAATGGCTCAGCATCGATTGAGGAGTGGGAGCGGGATCAGTAATGACCTGGGGCTCTCTTGAAGAGCAGGAGGTTTCATCCTAAGAAGGAGCAAATGGCTCCTCTTGGGCTGAGAGATCGAGTCCCTCATGTGGTTCCCCAGTAGTACTCTTAGGTTCCAGATTTTCAAGGGGCAATAGTTCCCTACCCTCTACCTGAAGACTATCACATTCCCTCAGAGATCCCATGGTCTTAGTAACACCTTCATAACCACCAACCAAACTTCCCTCAACAACTATTAACAACATATTCTCTAGGGCTTCTTGTTGATTTAACACCAAAGTAGATTCAGAGGACATAAGAGGAATATTACCTATAGGGCTAGCTACATTCAAATCAAAGCTTGGAGTAATTAGTGCTGAGTCTTCACCACTACAAGCCACACTCTATTGCGCCTCAAAGTTATCTTCTACTTGCAGACTAGAGATTTCCTGATTTTTTCCCTCTACTATTTCTCCCTCAGCCATTTCTTCTAGCGAGGCGGAAGGAGAGGCCACAGCCACAAACCTCCTTGGGTTGGTGTTTTGCGACTCCGATGAGAACTAGAACTTGATTGGGATGGAGAAAAAGCAGTAGGTGGTTGGGAATCTTGTATAGGGTTTGGACTGGGTTGGTATAGGGGGACGTAGACTCTGTCGCCTGTGCTTCGCGAGATGAAGATACAGTGGGTACCACACTAGGAACGTTTGAGGCTTCTAGATTCTCATACATGGTGGATATATGCTTTGGGAATTAAATAAGAAAAATAGTATTTGGGTTTTGAAAGAAAAATGGGATTTTTGGATTTTAATGTGAGTAGTAATGATAGAGACAATGTTTGGGTTTATTTAAGGAGGGTGAGGGACCGGTTAGGAATGGGTATTGATATTCTGGGTAGATGGGTCATTTTGTAACGGGTACGACATTTGGGTTCTAAATAGAGATGAAAAAGAAACCTAAATTTTAATGATGTGGCACTTTCACAACCATTAAAGATGTGCATGAGAGTAAAAAGGAACTATTAACATGAGTCAAGGGAATTAGGTTCCCTAACTAAGTTTTGAAAATGTAAGCCTCATCCTTTTACCAATATGCATTGACACTAGCTTCTTGTTTGCTCTGTGATTGCCATGCATATCTACATGTAACGGTATAGAAACGAGTTAGAACTTGCTAGAAAACACTTTTGAGTTGTTTTACATATTCATTCTTTCATAGACAGCCATTGAGGGACCAGGTGCTCGGCTTGGTTTTATCAACCCCAGTGCCAATCAACTCTTTTTAAAGTGCTCTCTACTCAATGCTTTGGTGAAGATATCTGCTGTTTGGTCTTTTGTCTTGCAGAACTTCATGCAGATAAGACCTTTTCAATATTATCTCTGAGAAAATGATGTCGGACGTCAATGTGCATTATTCTTTTGTGTTGAACTGGAGTTTTTGTCAAGTTGAGAGCACTAGTGTTATCATACAGTAATGCACACAATTAGAAAAGACACCAAAGTCCTCCAAATGTTGCTTGATCCACAGCAATTAAGCACAGCAAGAGGTAGCTGCCACATACTCAGCTTTTGCAGTTGAAAGAGCCACGGAGTTTTGTATCCTTGTACCCTATGAAATCAAACACGATTCCAGAAAATGTGCTATGCCAGAAGTCCTTTTTCTATCCACAAGATAACCAGCATAATCAGCATCAGCATACCCAATCAAGTCGAAATTGTCTCCTGAAGGGTAGTAAAGAACCAGGTCCTATGTTCCTTTTAGATACCTTAGAATTCTCTTGGCATCCTTCAAATGTGATTCCTTTGGACTAGATTGAAACCTAGCACATAATTCCACACTGAATACGATGTTTAGTCTGCTTGCTGTGAGATATAAGAGTGAACTAATGATACCTCTGTACATGGTTTCGTTTACAGGAGAACCAGGTTCATCCATGTCGAGAAGAGTAGTAGTGGCAATAGGAGTATCAATGATCTTTGAACTTTCCATCTCAAATCTCTTCAGAAGGTCTTCCCTGTACTTCTCCTGACTTATCATTGTGCCCTTTGGAGTTTTCTTGACTTGCAGACCTAAGAAGAATTTCAATTCCCCCATCATGTTCAATTCAAACTCACTTCCTATGAGCTTTGCAAACTCTTCACAAAGAGAATCATTTGTTGCACCAAAAATGATGTCGTCAACATAGACTTGCACAATGAGTAGGTTCCTTACTCGTTTCTTCAGAAATAAGGTGTTGTCGATTTTTTCTCTTGTAAAGCCATTTTCAAGGAGGAATATTAGAAAACCTTTCATACCATGCACGAGGAGCCTGCTTCAGCCCATATAAAGCCTTGTCAAGTTTGAGTACATGCTAAGGATACTCATGACATTCAAAGCCAGGTGGTTGTTTGACAAAGACTTCTTTTTTTAGATGTCCATTTAGAAGTACACTCTTGACATCCATTTGGAACAATTTCAATTACATATGAGATGCAAAGGCAATGAGGATTCTGATGGCTTCCATGCAAATGACTGGAGCAAACGTTTCATAGTAGTCGATCCCTTCTTCTTGATTGTAGCCTTGAACTACTAACCTTGCCATATTCCTTGCTGTGTTACTAAACTCATCAAGTTTGATTTAGAACACCCACCTAGTTCCTATAACAGTTCTACTAGAGGGTCGAGGAACGAGGTGCTATACGATATTCCTCTCAAATCGATGGAGTTCATCTTGCATAGCAGTAATCCAGTTAGCATCTTTCAATGCTTTCTTGATATTTTTAGGCTCAATTTGAGATAGAAAGGCTAAAAAGGCAAGTGCGCTTCTTTGACTTTGATCTAGTTTGAATCCCTGAGTCAAAAGAGTGATCACGTTTTGAAGAGGGTGTGAACTTTTGTACTTCCATCTAGACACCTGAATCTCATTATGAGAAGATCTAGGTCCTTCTGAACGTGTTCCATTGTTGACATGAGTCTCGCTTCTTAGCTCAGCATCTGGGGCTCTTTGCACAACATCAACAATTTTGTTCTCTGCTTCAGTTATTGTGATTGGGGGATCAGGGTCCTTTACATCAGCTGGAGATTCAACTGCACTATTTTTGTTTGATTCCTTGACTTGGCTCACCATGTTAGCCTTCCCATTTTCTATATCAATAACTTCACTAGGAAAATTTGATAGCACTCCATCTTGATCAACCTTATAATGTGAATCTTTTCCAAATAAGTGGTGTGATTCATCAAAGATCACGTGTATGCTTGCCTCAACACATTGAATTCTTTTGTTGTACACCTTGTAAGTTTTGCTTTGTCATGAACAGATAAGAAAGATTCCTTCATCACTTTTGGCATCAAATTTTTCCAGTGCTTTCTTGCCACTGTTGAGGACAAAATATTTGCAGAGTAACCTTCTTCAAAGTTTGGTGGAGTAGCCAATGAGGATCTTTTTTAGGTGTTATCCTGATAGAAAGAACCTGCCTTGATACCAATTGATAGAAAATAAGGGTCTATCAAACTATATAGAGAACCTGGTTGTTTATTAGTTCCCACAGAACACACACACATTAGTTAGTAAATAACACAATGGAGTTTTACATGAACAATTCCCAGCTCACGGGATTAAAAACTATGACCTACACTCATAGGATTTCAACTTCACTACTGAGCAAACTTCAGACCTAGGAATTAAATCCCTTACTCACTTGTAATAACTCTATTACAAGATCCTTTGTAATAACTCTATTACAAAGCTTACAATTCCGCTAACTTTAGCCAAGACACAAACACAAGGTTTATGGTTTTACAAAAGATTTCCTACACAATGCTTCTAGCTAAGCTAAGTAGAAATTACAAGTAAATCGCTTTAACAAAGATGCAACACAACTAAGGACATATAATGACTCAATGTAAGAAACTGATCCTTCGTTATGTTGTTCTCTATTCTTGAAACCCTGAAAGCCACTTGCAAGATCGCCACACACTTGAAAGAGAGATTGGTTAATTCTGGAATGTGCAAGTGTGTAGTTTTTCCTTTCCTTCATGTTAATATCACCCAAATGATGTCACTTGGATGATGAAAGCATATTTGGTGCAAAGGCATTCCCAATAAAGTGACTGCTGTACTATTTGCCTTGTTGCGTGTCTGCGGAGGATTAGTTGCAGCAACTTTACAGCTTTAGGGAATTGACTTGGTACAGTCAGCAAGGGAACTGATGTCCATCTGTTCCTTCTGTCGTTTCTTTGATTCTGAATTGTTGAAACATGTCCCCGACTTGAGACTTGTTGTTCTTGAGCACTTTGAGGATGTGAAACAGGTTTCCCATATGGTTCTTATCATTAAGGGGTCGTTTGGTAGGAGGTATTAGAAAAAATAATGCAAGCATTAGCTCTATGCATTACTATATGATACTTTGTTTGATACATTTTTTTTAACATGTGTATATCATATTTTGGTCTTATCCTATGCATAAGTAATGCATAAAAAAACATAGCATTAGTAATACCAAGGCTATTAATGTATGCATTAGTATGGTTAAAGACAAAATTGTTCTTAACGTCCCTTAAAGCTAGAGAATATGGGGGACATTTTTGTAAATAACTATTTTAAAAAAAAAATATGCAATGCATTATAATTTTTATACAACACACCAAACATTAGATAAGAAATAATATCTGCATAACTAATGCTTGCATTACTAACCCATACAATACTAATACACCTTATTCTGCACTATTATTATACACCCTACCAAATGACCCCTAAGTGTTAGATCTCATCAAAACATATCAGGACACATAACCTATCAATTCTCCAAAGAAGAAGTTAAATGGTGTGGGTCGGCGGATGAAAAATTATTGTTCGGTGAATATACTAGTGTTAAGCTATTTTATAACATTGAATAACAAAAACAAAATAGGGTTGCGGGTCCAAATTTGTCCTGTATTATTTGATATAGCTCAGTTTTGTCTTTCCTTAGACTCTTGGTTCA